ACGACACACACACACACACACACACACACACACACACACACACACACACACACACACACACACACACACACACACAGGCACAGTCACACACACACACACACACACACAGGCACATTCACACTTACACACACCTGCTTCGAGGTCGAAGAGGAGGGGCGGGTCCTGTGGACCATCGGGCCAGGGCTGCGTGGTCGTGGACTGTGTAGCCCAGTAGATCTTGTGATCGCCGCAACGCATAGCATACAGCTCGCCACTTGCATTAACTGCAGCGGCGTTGTGGTAGAACATGATGCAATCATGACCCTGCTTGGATCCGTTGAAGAGAATGGGGCTCAGGTCAATGCCATCGATGATGCGATCTGTTGGCACGTCGCCCTGCACCACACGCACACAGACGCACACAGACGCACACAGACACACAGACACACAGACACACAGACACACACAGACACACACACACGCACACACACATGAACAGAAAGGCGTTAAAGGTGTGATACTGAGTTCGCAGAGCCGTCATTGACACACACGCATTGACACAGACACACAAACACAGCACAATGCACGCACACACAGACACACAGACACAGACACAGACACAGACACAGACACACAGACACACAGACACACAGACACACAGACACACACACACACACACAAACATAGCAACGCACTCACACACACACGCCGCACAACGTACGCCTGCCATGGTGATGACTGTGGTGAAGACGTCGAGGGTGGAGACGAGTGCCTTGGACTGGGAGCCTGCAGGGATGCGGTTTGGCCACCACGCAATGCCCGGTGCCTTGAAGCCGCCCTCCCACGTGCTCGCCTTGCCATCACGCAGCGGGAGGTTTCCTTGCTCGTCGTTGGCAAGTGGCGCGCCGTTGTCGCTGGTGAACAGCACAAGCGTGTTGTCGTCGACACCCGCGTGCTTGAGGGCGTCCATCACTTCGCCAATGACCCAGTCCATCTCCTGTACGGCGTCGCCGACGGGGCCTGACTTGCTGGTGCTGCAGAAGCGCGGCGAGCACGAGTTGGGCGTGTGCACGTGGTTGAACGGAAGGTAGAGGAAGAACGGCCGGTCCTTCTGCGCGTTGCGCATGACAAACTCCTTTGCAACTTGCGCGTACTCGTCTGCGAGCTTGTCCAGTGCGGCCGGCTGTTCCACGACTGCATTGCCTTTCAGCTTGGGAATGGGCGTGGGCTCCATCGGTGCAATGCCATTGTAGTCAAACGGCAGCCAGAAGCTCATCCCCATATCTGCGCACAAGCGCGTGAGTGAGTGAGTGAGTGAGAGCGCGAGTTGTGTGTGTGTGTGTGTGCATGTGTGTGTGTGTGTGTGTGTGTGAGTGAGTGAGTGGGTTGTGTGTGTGTGTGTGCGCGAGTTGTGTGTGTGAGTTGTGTGTGTGTGTGATTGAACAGTCAAGGGAGAGAGTTCGTTTGTGTGTCCACTTGAGCTAGCGGTTGCCTGTGCCTCGAATCGGAGAGCCGTGCGCTTCAGATAACAATCCAAACACATATTCACGGCGCTGCTGACCTTGTGAAAAGGGGATGCCATAGTATTCCTCAAAGCCGCGTGCTGTGGGCAGGTAGATGTCTCGCTGGCCCAGGTGCCACTGCAACGCGCAATGGCATCATGGAATGCGTGACGGCCACGTGAATATGTGAGTGAGTGAGTGAGTGAGTGAGTGAGTGAGTGTGTGAGTGTGTGTGTGTGTGCGTGTGCGTGCGTACACGCGTGCACCAATCGACGAATCACAAGAGACCACAGCGTGTCAGCTGCAAGCGATGCAAGGACAACAAGCACGCGACAGGCATGACGCACCTTGCCGATGGCCATGGTAGCGTATCCCTGCGGCAGCAGTGCCTCTGCGATTGTTGTTTCGTTCAGCGGAAGGCCGCCCACGGCCTCTGCAGAGAACACCTGACTTGGTAGTGGTCCTCCTGGAGAATGGACGGCGGTGTGCGATGCACGAGTGTGATAGAGAGGGGCAAGCGAAAGGAAGCAGATGGATAGGGTGCGTGAGAGAGAATTTGAGTCACACAGACAGACAGACAGACAGACAGACAGACAGACAGACAGACAGACAGACAGACAGACAGACAGACAGACAGACAGGCAAGCAGGCAAGCAAGCAGGCAGGCAGGCAGGCAGGCAGACAGACACACAAACTCACACACAACACACACACACACGCACAAACACACACACACACACACACACACACACACATACACACACACGCAGCTGCGTACCTGGGGCATCTGGTGCATACTTGAGAGGAGAGCTGCCAATGCCACTGCGAATGCTGTAGCGGCCCGTCATCATGCTGGCACGGGAGGGCGAGCACACATGGAAGGCGCTGTACCAGTTGTGGAACACCATGCCCTCATTTGCCAGGCGCTGCAGGTTTGGCGTGGCGATGCTATCATGCACAAGGCAAGACCAGAGTGCGTGCAAGTGTGAGTTGGGAGAGAGAGGGGGGGGGGGAGTGTGTGCGTGTGTGTGTGTGTGTGAGTGAGTGAGTGAGTGAGTGTGTGTGTGTATGTGTGTGTGTGTGTGTGTGTGTGTGTGTGACAATGCAGGTCGGACGGGGGGCAGTGCTTTGCAAGGCGCGGAGGAAAGCGCAGCACTGCAAGCGCGCCAAACTCACGTGTGGTTGTTGCCTGTGTAGCCATTTGGCACGTTGTCCAGACGAATCTCGTTGACTCCAAGATCTGCCCAATGGTGATGTGATGTGAATGGTTGTGAGGACAAGGCAACACAAACTACCCAACTGCGCTGTAACAGGAGTCAACTGCAACATGCATGACAGCACCCCAACCGCACCGTGCCACCAACCAACAACCACACACACGCACCATCGGCGAAGAGAACGATAAAATTGGGTTTGCGGTGGTGATGGCGTGTCTGGGTTCCAGCCACGGGCCGAGGTGAGGCTGAGCGCGCCATCATGAAGACCATGACCGCGATGCAAGCGAACCCCAGGCCAAGGCCACAAAGGCGAGCGTGAACGGCTGCCATCTTTGCTCTATCCGAAGAGAAGCAGAACAAGCAGCAGAAGAAGAAGTTAGGTGCGCTTGCAGGTGAGATGTGTGTGTGTGTGTGTATAATGTAGGCTCGACGGAGCAGGTGAGTGTGCAGGTGCGTGTTCGGAGGGGTGAACGACGAAAATGGCAATGACAGCTTTCGGCAGACAGGTACGCACGGTGTCTTCTCTTTTTGTGTGTGTATTTGTAGCCACATCTCCGCCTGCCTGCACCACACACACCACAAGCACACGAACTTCCTTGCTTTGACACGACTCACCTGCTGCAGAGCACCTGCAACCCTTTGCTTCTTCCTTGCTTCTCCTGTGTTTGCTTGCTTGGTCGCTTGCTTGATGACAGTGTCAACGATGGAGGCAGATGAATGTGGTCTTGCGTCGTGCTGCACGGCTAGGCTGGTTCTGGTTTGTGGTTCTGGCGTTTGTTTGCTTCCAAGTTTGTGCTTCTTGCGTCTTGTCTTCGTTTGGGTTGGCTCAGGGCTATCTGTGGTGTGGCACCAAGCTCGGTGTTGCTTACTGGAGGAGTGTGATAGTGATGATGACAGCGATGCAACCAACCAGCCCGCGTCTTTTCTATCTTGGGGTGGGGGTTGGTGTGCGTCTTGCGTGTGTGGGTGTGTGCCGTTGTCTTGCTTCTTGCTTGCTTGGAGATCGCGATGAGTAATGACGCCAACGGTTCGTCGATGACTGTGACAGAGGCGAAACCCAAACAAACCCCCTAAAACAGCATCAAACCACACACATCTGACAAATCATTGCACAAGCCACAATGATTTGATGCACTTTTTGGACTTCGGTGCTGTGGTCGTGACGAGGCGGTAACGACATGACACCGATGAAGACCGTTGACACTGCCGTTGGTCCCCCACCAACGGTTCCCACGCCTTTTTGACCACTGGTTGAGCCTACTTCCTTCCTTCCTTCAGCTGGCCACCCGTCGCTAAGCACCAAGCAAGCAAGCAACAAGCAAGCCACACGCGCAGCTGTCTCAACGCGTCCTTTTCACGCTGCCCTCCTCTCCTTTTTTGTTTTTTCCTTCTCTCTCTGTCTCAACGCGACCCCCCCTTCACGAGGAAAGGGGAACAACAACGCACCACACCCTACCCTGCTCACTCACTCACTCCCCCTCGCAGGGTGGGTTCGCAGCATCAGTGTTGGTTTCCAAGAAGCCCGCCAGCAAGCAAGCAAGCAAGCAAGGGGACGAACAAGGACACACCAAAGCAGCACGACCCCCCCCCACTTGTCTACCACTGAGCCTTTCCATTTAATTTAACACACACACACACACATACACACACACACACACACACACACACACACACACACACACACACACACACACACACACACGATGGCGGACGACATTGTCGACCGCAGCACGCTGAGCAACGGTGACTTTGTGTCACTGTTTGTGCAGAGTGCGGGTGGTGTGGCGAGCGTGGACTTGCTCTCGTCAAAGGAGATCTCCGTCTTCCAACCCACCAAACTACAGCAAGAGCACCAGAAAGCAACACAGCAGCAAGGCGACAGCACCAATGCAACCTACTCCTCCTCCTCCACCGCTGACGCCACCTCTACCAAGGCAGACACGGCACCCACCACCATCCCAAACTTTGAGCAGGCATGCATCTTCCAGATCAAGGCGGTGACGGACCTGCCGGAGGGCGCCAGCCTCAAGTACGGCGACGTCGTGCGCATCATCCACCGCAGCACCCAGCGCAGCATCACGCGCCAGACCCGCGCCGTTGGCGGCGTGTACTCCGTGGCTCTCGATGCCACCAGCGCCGGCGCCAGCCACTTTCGCCTCCTGCCGCGCTTCAAGATCAGGGCCATCGGCGACCCGGTCCTCCTCAACGACCAGGTCGTCTTCCAGAACGAGCTCATCCTCGACGGAAACCGCACCTTCCTCACCTCCTCCTCAAGCCTCGACCAGTCCAAGGTCCTCCTCGCCTGCGGGCCGTCCGAGACATCCGGCATACGCATCCGCCTCTTCGCCCCCTACAACGTCTCTGGGGAGGCCTTCATCCACGTGCTCAAGGGCGGCGACTTTGTGCGCCTGTACCACCACGAGGCCAACGGGTTCCTCGTCGTTGCGCGGCAGATTGGCGACGGCGACGAGGATGACTTCCTTGGCCACGACAACACCGTCTGTCTCCGCGCCATCGGGGCAGGCAACCAACCGGGCGACTACCACGACGCAAGCTCCATCTGGCAGGTGGAGCTCGAGGACACCCAGCGCCGCGGCGGCAGGCCCGTGCTGTGGACCGACCACGTGCGGCTCAAGAACGTCCTCACAGACCAGTACCTCGACGCAAGCGCCATCACCTCCACTGGTGTCATGGCACCGGCTCAGACACGGCAGACATCAGGCCTCTTCTCCCTGCTTGAGTCTACACACGCGGCGGAGCAGGAGAGCGAGGACAGCGCCACCGCCGCCGCCGTCGCCATCATGTCGCGCCAAGAGGACCTCCGCATCCCATACAGCGCCTTCTTCTACGTACGCGGGTCCGGCCAGTACCTGCACGTGAACACGGACGAGGCAGCCGTGGACGAGAACCAGCAGGGCGACGACACAACCTTTGTGCGCTCCGTGCTCGTGCAGCAGCGCCGGGATGAGGACGCATTCTCCCTGCACAGCGTCCACCAGCAGGACATCCGCGACTTCTACTTTGCGCTCGGCCACGCCAAGATCCTGGCCCAGCTGGCAGAGGAGCGGGTGCTCTCGGACGTGTGCAGCCCACGGCACGGCGAGCTCTTCAAGCGCGCGCGAAACAGCATCCAGGCGCTCATCCAGTTCTGCTCCGAGGACAAGATTGAGGACGGGCAGGACGAGGTGGGCCGTACCAACACCCTGCACCAAAACATCCTCTTTGACCTGCAGGTGCACACGCCCCTCATGACCGTGGTCAGCGTGCCGTTCCAGGGCGCACACTGCGCGGACTGGGGCAAGGGCTGGCGCACGCGCCTGGCGCAGCCAAAGTGCCGCCGCTTCAACAAGCTGTGCCGCGACATCTACCGCCTCATCAGCTACCTGTGCCACGGCAACGTGCACGTGGGCCTGGTCATGGCGGACGCCTACCTCACCGACATGGTCAACCAGTGCCGGCTCATCAGCTGCATCGACAACATCCACTGGCACATTGCTGACACCCTGGACAACATTGTGCGCAACAACCACATCCTGCTCAACCGCGTCACGAAGCGGTCCGTCAACCTCTACATCTCCCTCATCCACGAAGCACACACCATGAGCGACCTCGAGCAGTACCTCGGCCTCCTCGCCTCCCTCTGCTCCGTCGACGGCTCGGCCATCCCCTCCATCCAGAACATCATCCGTGAGCTCACCCTTGCCCCAGACGCGCCCGCAGCGGACATCCTGCCCGTCACCACCATCGACAGCGATGGAAACATGACCATCTCCACGCGCGTGCCCACGCGAGGCAAGCCCTTCCACCAGTGGCGCGTCGTCACCATGCCGCTGCAGGAGTACCTCAAGGACCAGGACCACCTCGAGTACTTTGACTCCATGCTCCAGCTCTACGCCCAGCTGTGCCTGGAGGGCAACTGCCAGGACGAGCTGCGTGACGCGCGGCGGGCGCCCTACCCCATGATCATGGGTGTGCTGCAGTCCAGCCTGCCAGCACACATCAAGGCGCGCTTCTGCACGCTCCTTGTCAACCTGTACATTGACGGCGACGACCTGCCCGAGGTGGACCACTCCAACCGGCGCTGGAACGACCTGGCCAACCACAAGTCGCACGCCAAGCTCAGGGCCGTTGCAGATCGTCTCTTCCGCGTGGACGAGGTGGTCAACTGGGTGGAGGCCTACCTCTCGCAGAAGGGTCTGCTCTCGTACACGACAGGCTACTACTCCGGTGCAGACAGCAAGCGCCCCGAGATTGCCGAGCTCAAGCAGGCAGAGGTGCAAGCCAACATGCTCACGGAACAGGTGCTGCGACTGTGCCTGGCCATGGTGAACAGGGGGCTGTACAACGACGTCGAGGCAAGGCAGCAGCTGACGCGCAGGCTGGTGGTGCTGCTGATGCGCTCGCACCCGAGTGACACGGACGACCTCACGCCCACCGCGGCCCTTGACGTCGTCGTGCGCGCAAAGACGGTGCTCTGCCGCATTCTCGATGCGTGCGTTGACGTGCACCTGGACGACATTGTCACCCAACTCCTGCACGCCTACAAGAAGGAGTGCGAGCAGAACAAGCGCAAGGGGCGCAAGCGCCGCCAGCAACAACAAGAGCAGCAACAGCAGCAGCAGCAGCAGCAGGGAGATGAAGGTGGAGCAGACCTGCAACAGCAGCAGAGCACTCGCTCCCTGCTTGACATTGACATCATCAAGCAGACGGGCGACAACCACCACTTCCTCGAGTACCAGGGCTTCACCCGCAAGCAGGCCGCGCACCTGCTACTGGCCCTGACCGTGTACCCGAGCGACGGCCTGCGCGTTGCGGCGCTCAACCTCCTCCTCCGCAACTTCAACATCAAGGGGTGCCTGCTGGCGCGCCTCTCAAATGTGGTGGTCATCTCCGACAGCAGAGACGAGGCCACGCTGGAGCATTTGGAGGAGCTCATGCTCATCCTCAAGCAGCAGGACAACGACGACCTGCCCACTGTCGCCAGAAACCTGACCAAGGACATCCAATGGATGTGCGCAGAGTGTGTCACCGTCAACGACAAGCCAGCCTCAGACTTCCTCAACAACCCCGCAGCAATAACAGCAGCAACAGCAGCAACAACAACAGCAGCAGCAGCAGCAGCAGCACCAGGAGCAACAACAACAACAACAGCAGCACGAGCAGCAGCACCAGGAGCAACACGCGGTGGTGGCCGGCGTGGAGCGCTGCCCTGGAACCAGCCAGATGTGGTGGTGGAGCCACAGCATGGGCGGCAGGAGATGATGCGTAACGCCAGCGCATACAAGGCCGTGCTGAACCTGGTGCAGCAGCGGCTGTCGGGTGCCACCTTCAAGAAGGCCCTGGAGAGCGAGCGCGTGCAGGAGTTCTTTGGCTCGTGCTTTGAGTTCCTTGCCTTCTTCTGCTGGGACAACAGAAACAACCAGGAGCTGCTGAGCCACCCGCGCAACATCGCCTTCTTCGTCGAGGCGTGCACATACGGCATCCACGCCGAGCGCGTGCTGCACCGCATCTTCGATGGGCAGCCCGAGCTGATTGAGGAGCACGTCGTTGGCGAGGGCAACGTCGACCCGCTGCTCACCTGCTTCATGCAGGAGCCCCGCTGCCGCACCGTGGCCTTTGTGCAGCTGCTGGAGACGCTGGTTGCGCCCGCGGGCACGCCGTCGCGCGACATGCAGGAGGCCATTGGCGAGAAGCTGCTGGGCGCCGAGGAGGACAAGGCATACCTCTACCCGGCACATACTGCCGGGGTGCACTTTGTTGCGTATTTGGTCGCCACGTACACCAAGGCTGGCCAGGACCTGCACGGCTCGATCCCAACGCTCAACACCATTGGCTCTGTGCTCTCTCGCAAGGAAGAGCGGCTGTGCGCGTACTTTGAGCAGCTGTTGTCGCTGCTGGCCACCCTCGCCCGCGCCAACTCGAAGATTGGCACGCTCGTGTCCAAGCTTGTGCCCCTGCCAGTGCTGGTGCAGCCGTTTGTGAATGGGGCGGCGCTGCCCGTCACGCTCAAGGCCCGCCTGCTCACCCTGATGCGTGACGTGTACCTGACTGAGGAGTCTCTGGAGGCCGAGCTGGAGCCCAGCGATGAGGTGGGCGCAGAAAGTGCCCATGGCAGTGGTGACGGCGGGAACGACAACGTCGACACGTGGGAGATGCTGTGCATACCGCTGGCAACTGAGCTTCAATCGCTCGCCTCCGTGCATTGCAGCATCACCAAGCTGGACAAGTACCTGTTTGAGTCGCTGCTGCCCACCGCACTCAACGTGTGCCGCGCCCTCTCGCGCCACGTCCTCAACGACCCGTCCATGCAGGCGCTCGCCGGGCCCTGTTCACGCCTGCTCACCGCCATGCTCGACGCCCTGCGGCAGCGGCGCAACGTGGTGGAGGCAGACATGTCGTGTGCTGTTGTTCAAGGCCACCGCATGCTTGCCGTGCATGTGCTCGATCAAACACTAGAACTGGCCGTGCTTGAGGCGGATGCGGACATCCCCGCATGCATTATCACAGAGCAGCGCTTCTTCTCTCAGCCAAACACATACGGTTTGTCCAGCAGCGGGCCAGGGCAAACGCGCGCTGCGTGGAAGGCAAACGCAGAGACAGCGCGCCTCGACCGTTTCCGTGGGCGCGTGCGTCGTCTGCTGGCCAAGTCAAGCAAGCGGCCCACCCTGCCCTGGATGCGGTTCATGCAAGTTGAGCTCAGCTTCGGCGGCATGTGGGGCCTGATTGATGTTGTAAGGTCAGGCCTGCTGGGCGAAATCGAAGAGGACCAGGAAGAGTTGGAGGCACTGGAAGAAAAGCTGCGCGACGAGCGTGGCGAGATGCCAACACAGGGTCTGTTGGACGCCCTGAGGGCTGAGGAACGGCAATCGCGCCGGCAACAGGGCAACGTTTCCAGCCGATCGCTCGCTGCTGGGTTCTTGGACACGCTTGCCCGCCCCACCGTGAAGGACGTGACCGTGGATGTACAGCAGTGCCTGTCACGCATTATCGCGTTTGGTGATGACCCAAACACGATTGACGCGCCCGAGGATAGCCAGGAGCACGGTAGTGCTGGTGGCGGTGGCGGTGACGGGTTCCAAAATGTGGATGAGGAAGAGGTGGAGGATGTGATGCTTGGCTTCTTGGGCATGCTGTGCAGCCTGCTGACGTCGCCCAAGAAGACGGCGGCCAGCAACGAGGAGGCCACCTCCATTGCATCGTGCCTGCTGAGCATGGGCGCAGCAGACATGGTGCTGCACCTGCTTGACTCCGACGACCGCCGCCTGGTGCTGATGGCGTGCCAGCTCGGCTGGCAGCTGCTCAAGGCAACCCCGCGCGTGTTTGAAGTGAACGACGAGCCCGACGCTGCTGCCGACCGCCAGGGCCCCAGCGGCGTGAGCGGGAACCGCAGCCTCTGTGCGCAGGAGGTGTTCTATCGCGCGCTTGAGTCTGGTCCAAAGGCGGCCAGGGGCATGGCAGCGCTGCACCGGCACCTGCAGGGCATGGTGACGGATTTGGCGGAGCGCGAGCGTGAGGGCCCGCTGCAGCGGCTAAAGCGAAACCAGGACTCCGAGGACCTGGACATGGCGATTGGCACGCGCGTGCTCGGCTTCATCGAGGCCACGTGCGACGGCTGCTACCGTGACATGCAGAACCTGCTGCGGTCTGCGGAGGGCCAGGGCACGGCCGTTGTCTCCGAGGTTGGTCGCCTGGTGCAGGGCATGGACCACATTGTTCGCGCCAAGAGCAGCGCGCCCATTGGAAGCTCGTGCGAGGAGGGCAAGCCCGACGCTGTGCTGCACCTGCACAATGACCTGAGGCGCGAAGCAAACGACATCACGTTCATGCAGCAGCTGTTTGGGGCACTCGGCGCGCTGGCCAGTGGACCAAACAGGGACAACCAGACATTGATTCTGCAGCACAAGGCGACCAAGTCCGTGCTGCTGTTCCTGCAGTATCTCAACGACCCGGACGCCCAGCACGCGCCGCGCCGGTCTGTGCCGTCACACGCAGAGTCGCACTCGGGCCTGAAGCGCAGCAGCACGATTCATCGCAATGAGAATGTGAACCTCTTCACGCTCAACGCGCAGTGCGACGAAGCGCTGGAGACGCTGGACTCGTGGTGCGACCACTTTGGCATTGATCGGAATGCCTTGTTTGATGACTCCGAGCAGAAACGAGGCATGTTTGGCTTGGGCGGTGGCCCGCAAACGCAGCGCAAGCGCAGCAGCAAGCTTTCCACGCTGATTCGCGGCCCCAGCGTGATGGCGGAGAACGAGGGCGTGGAGGAGCTTGAACTGGAAGACGCACACGACGACAGCCTGCTCGATGATGAGGGTGATAGCGACGTCGACAATGCTGGCGGTGGAGAAGAGGGCGGGGAGGAGGACGAGGAGGTAGACTATGACTACGGTGATGGCGCGGATGGCAACAACACCAGTGCCGACGGAAACAGCGCGGCCGCCGAGGAAAAGAAGCCTAAGCGGCAGGGCAGCTTTGCTGCTGGTCTTGGCTTTGGCGCTGCGTTTGCCAGTGGCATCCGCGCTGTTTCAGGCGCAGGACGCGACAATAATGGCGACGATGAGGATGACATCGCACAGGCGCGTGCTTTGCTGACAAGCGAGCACCTGATGGCTGCACGCGGGGCGCGGCAGCTGGCCGAGGCGCTCGACGTGTTGGACGAGCAGTGCGAGGCGGCCGTGCTGCAGTTTCTCTTGAGCGTGCTTGAAGGGCGGCTGAAGAAGGACTCTGTGCTGGACGTGCTGTGTGTGCAGCTGTTCCCGGAGAACGCGGGAGCGCAGGGCACCGATTTCAAGCAGTGTGCCATGTTCCGGATGCTGAACGAGCACTACGTGAGCGCACGCCAGCAGCGCCGCAAGAACAAGAATGAGCGAAACCAAGCGTTTGAGGCCGTGTCGCTCGTACCAAAACAGGCGCAATTCCACGATGAAGATGTGGCGCTGCTGTACTACATGATGATGCGCATGCTGAGCGAGCTGGCAGATGCACAGGGCTCGCGAGTGGCGCGGTTGCTCATGGCGTGGGAGGACAAGGCGGCGCCCTCAATCCGGCAGCGCGTGGCGCGGGTGGAGCTGGTGCACAACGGCAGCTTGCAGCCCGTGTACATGCAGGTCCCGGACGTTGTTCGCCAGACCAAGGACCGTTTGCAGGTGCGGCAGCTGCGGAGTGCCATGATCAACAACAGCGTGCTGCTGACGCCCGAACAGCGGCTGCACACCTTCTTTGACGAGGCGCCACTGCTGATTCGAGTCATGGAGTTTGAGAACAAGGCCGGCAGCTACTGGCTGTCTCGCATTGTGTCGCACCAGCGCGTGTTGCTGCTGTGCTGCTTCCTCCTCGCCTTGTTCATCAACGGCTGGGTTGTGTTTGGACCGCCACCCAAGCGTCCAGAAGACCAGGCCATACCACGCACCGCCGCCACCGTGCACACCGCGCTGGCTGCGCTCATTATTGCTGGGCAGTCGCTGGCGCCGCTGCGCGTGGACATACAGCGGTGGCACGAGGCAAGCGAGGGCTTGTCGCTGACGAGGAAGATTCTGCTTTTCCCCATCCACTGGGTGTTCCACGCAAGCTACACCTACTATGTGCTGTACCTGATTCTGAGCGCTGTGGGGATTTCACACTTTCAGTTCTTCTGCTTCCATCTCTTTGATGTGGTGCTGCGCGTTGAGGTGATGACGCTTGTGCTGCGAGCGGTTCGCGTCAACCTGTCCAAGCTGATTGGCACGTTCGTCCTGACCTTCTTCATCATCTATGCCCTCACCCTCATTGGGCGGGAGGCGTTTGCTGGCAAGTATGAGTTTCCTGATTCTGCTGCTGCGTGCAGGAGGGACCAGCCGCTGTCTGAGTGCCTGAAGGACCACCTGTACTACGGCTTCTACTCCTCGCCCGTGTTTGGCTCGGAGGCGTCCACGTGGGAGTTTGTGTATGCGCTGTTCTACTTCCTGGTGATTGTGCTGGTGATGGCTGCGATTGTTTCCGGTATCATCATTGACTCGTTTGGCGAGTACCGTGCCGAGACGGAGGCCATCGCTGCGGAGAAGGAGAGCCGGTGCTTCGTGTGCAACTTCAACCGCGACCAGATCCAGGCATCGGACGACACGGGTTTTGAGGGCCACGTGATCAAGGACCACAATGTCTGGAACTACATCTGGCTCATCCTGCGCGTGTTGGAGAAGCGGCGGACGCACAAACCGCTGACGGGCGTGGAGATTGAGATTGCGCGCCAGTGGGACACGACCAACACCATTGGGCCCATGATGCCCGTGAACAAGGCGCTCTGCTTTGACACGGACGACGTGCACGTGGAAGCAGATGTTCAGCAATTGGCGTTTGCCTTCAACCAATTTGCTGCGTCCACAGAGAAGGCGCTTCAGAACATTCTCGCGCAGCTCTCTGCGCTCAAGACTGGACGCATGCGGTGATGATGATGATGATGATGATGATGATGATGATGATGATGATGATGATGATGCGTAGTGTGGGGTTGTGGGGGTTCTTTGAGTTGGAATGTCCGTTCTTGTCGTGCTAGGGAGTGTGTCTTTCATTGATGGTTTTGCGTTGATTGTTGTTACATTGCGGCGCGCCATCTTGTTGTTGTTACATTACCCTCTTTCTGTACCATGTTCTTGCTCACTTGCCCCTTGCCTTGTTGAGTGGAGGCTGACGCTTGTTTGACAAGATGTGTGCACGTTTATTAGCTGATCTTGTTTGAGTGCGCTGTGTTGGTTGCTGCTCCTAGAATGAACAAACGAATGCATGAACGAATGCATGAACGAATGAACAGATACAAGAAGAAACAATCATGCAGGGAGGAAGGACGGACGGAGACACAGAAGGGGACCAATACAGTGAAGACAGGGCGAATAACAAATAACAAATGGTCGCATACAATTCACTCAAAGGAGTGAGGGCAATGGGAACATGATAGCAGCAACTTGTGTGGCGTTGAAGTATGTGGTGACATGAAATGATGTCACTTGACGGGAACAAGCAACGTTGTCGCGCGTCTGCAAATTGTGTGTGTGTGTGTGTGTGTGTGTGTGTGTGTGTGTGTGTGTGTGTGTGTGTGTGTGTGTTGTGTTAGGGATGTTGAGGGTGAGCAACCGTGATGGTGAAAGCGAGACATGACACCGCTGTGAGAAATGGACGCTTGTCAGTGCAACTCCCACCTGGTTGAAGGGCGCAAGTTGAGGGACCAGAGATCACTGTAACGACCGCCGTGGGGGTGGCGCCCAAATAGCACGAGCAGATGCGGCACGCGCTGGCAATGCACGCAGTGAAGTGGAGTGGGCGGGTGTGTGAGCGAGCGTGTGGGTGAATGCAAGGACGTCAGTGAACGCAAGTGAGTGAACGCAAGTGAGTGGGCGGATGAGCCAGTGAGGGCAAGGGAGTGCGTGTGTTAGCGTACGTGTGTGTATGTGGGTGAGTCAACGGGTCAATGAGTACAAGTGAGTGCACACAGCAAAGCACAGCATGGCAGCCATTTGCTCAAGACGTGGAACAGCGAGCTCACGTTGTGGTAGGAAGCAACGCAGCAACAGTGTGCCTCGCGAGTCTTGGGCCAATTGCCCGATTTTCCAGACACCTTCATCTTCGTCCATACATTCTGCTCAACGTTGTACACCCACACATGGGCAGACACCGCGTGCCTGTGCGGATTAACGAGGTGGCGGTGGCGGTGATGAAGTGCGGTGGAAATTGAGTTGGGGAGAGGCAGATCGTGACAAGGCCAGCAAGCACATGCACATCAGACAGGGAGAGAAAGGGGGAGGGGTTTGACAACGTGTGGTGGGGCACACACACACACACACACACACACACACACACACACACACACACACACACACACACACACACACATATACACATACACACGCGCGCGCACACAAACACACACACACACATGGCAAGCAAGTGCGTACTTTGAAGAGCCGCCAAAGAGGAAGAGGAAGGCATCATCTGTGACGAGAGTGTGCTTGGTGCGCGGAGCCGGGGACGGGCGGGCAGAGGGCGACAGCAGTGACCAGCGCAGCGAACGCAAATCCAGGCGCCACAAGTCACCTGCGGGAACAACCAAAGAGAGGAGGGCGAGTGAATGAGGGAGTGACGGAGTGAGTGTTCCCGTGCTGCAGCAGGGGTGAAAAGGAGGAGGAGGATGAGAAGACATGTCAACAACACTATTAGTAGCGTGCAGCAACGTACGCACCGAGCAGGTGGTTGTGTCGATCAACACCGCCATATATGTACATGAGGTCCCCGATGGTGCATGCGGCGTGCTGCATGCGCGGAGAAGGACGATTGCTGCTGCTGCTGCTGCTCGAATCCGCAGGCTGGAGTTGTTTCCACTCGCCATCGTGTGGCGAAAACATCCACAGCTGTCAACATGATGCAACACAAAGAGTATGAGTGGCTTTGCTTGATGGTGTGAACGCAGCACTGTTGCACAAGCACTGAGAGAAACGAAGAGAGTGCGAGCAACCTCCCGAGCACACACACACACACACACGCACACACACGCACGCACACACACACACACACACATACACCTGGTCGGTGACTTGAGATGATTCGTGAATGTGTCCTCCAAAGACAATCATGTGCTCGCGCTGCCAAACACATGCGGAGTGTGAGCAGCGGGCCAGCGGCCACTGCGACTGAGATGCGGAAGTGGATTCCACATCCACCACTTCACGCTGTCCAGAGGGCGACGATCGCTTCCCACTGTACACATGCGCGTGTCCATGTGTGTGCGTGTGCGTGTGTGAAGATGTGTACATGTGTGTGTGTGTGTGAAGGTGGGTACATGAGTGTGGTTGAAGACGACTTCAGCCCAGTGCTGGGCAGAGATCAGGACATGTGCAGGTGCATCAAACAGCAGGAGGGCGTGGGCATGTGCAGTGGGTGTCTCGTGCTGTGCAACTGTGACGCACGTGAGGCATGACCAGCGCTCGTCCGGGATGTCAAACAGCCACGTTACCCCCGACCTCAGCGAGGTGTACCCGCCAAACAGCACCAGCCTGCGCCACGAATGGTGACAGGGCAGAGGGAGTTAGCAATGCATACACACGCAGAAGGAGACTGAGTGTGACGGAGGGCAAGGGCGACGCACGTACACACACGCGTTTCTCTACGCACGCACACAGACACACACACAGACACACACACACAGACACACAAGACACAAACAGACACAAACACAGACGCACAGACACACACATGAACACACACACACGTCCATGAACATACACACACAGGCACACGCGCACACATACACACATACACAGGAGTGCTGCGTACATCTGCTGGCCGATGGCTGTGAGTGTGTGTTCGCGGGACGGGCCGGGCCAGAGTGTCTTCTTCACCTCCGTTCTCATTCCACCGACGATGGCAGGCGTGCTCCGTCGGCGCTCCCCACCTCTCGTCGTCGTCGTCGTCGTCATCGTCGGAGCTGCTGTTGCTGCTGTTGTTGTTGTTGCTGTTGTTGTTGCTGCTGTTGATGTTGCTGTTACTGCTGTTGTTGGGGTGTGTCTGCTGTGGTGTGGTGCGACGCGCCGCTGTGCGTGTGTGTCTGTACGACTGTGAGCGCTCTGCGCGCGGAATGCTTGTGTTGACGATGAGGATGACAGCGTTGATGATGAGCGTGGACCGCGTGGCCCCATGTTGAGCCACATCTCCGTAATCAGGTCATACTGCCACAGCGTGTTGCTCAGCTGCCGACTGGTGTTTGTGGAGGGTGGGGGGGCGTGTCGATGGCGTGGTGTTGATTGGAGGAGGAAGAGGGGAGGACACGAGGGCAGGATGAGAAGTGGGATGTGGAGATGAAAAAGTGCATCAGCACATCCACTCGCACACACACACACACACACACGCACGCAACAAGCACACACACACACACACACACACACACACACACACACACACACACACACACACACACACACACACACAGCTGCGTACCCGACTTGGCCGCCGAAGATGTAGACTGATCTGTCTGCAACGCAGCAGCACGCTGTGTCTGTGATTGGTGGCGGCCCACGACCATCAAGCGTGCTGCTCAGACACTCCCACCGGTACCGTGGCCCCTTCTCGCTCTTCATACTGCCGCTGGTGCTGCTGCTACTGACGCTGTTGCTATTGCTGCTGTGCGTTGTGGTGGGTGCTGATGTTGCGGACGAGTGCTGACCGGTGGCGGGAGCGACCGGCCTGAACACACGAGCAGCAGCCCCCTGCTGCGGGGACGGCATTGCCTCATCAGGGTAGGAGTCACTTTGCGAGCCATCAGCGGCGTGGTGCTGTTGCGATGCCTCACCACCCATGGCACGGCCGCGCCTGTGCTGCCCCACCTCCACGCGCGTCCGCTCTGCATGATGCAATCCACCATCAGCCACGCCCACATCACCCCGCCCCCTCAACTTGCTGAAGAGACTTCCGCCAAATGGAGAGCGCGAGCGACTGCGCGCTGCCGAGGATGGTGGTAGTGGTGGTGACACTGGCTCTGCTAGCAGTGGTGACGAGGTGGTGATGTGGGCGTGGTGGTGGGCGTTGGCTGGCGAGACACGACGTGGTGATGACGGCGCCGATGCGGCGGTCTGATGACCGCGGTGGCGCGACGCAACGTGCAGTGGTGGCAGGTGGGACGTTGCTGCGGTGCTGTTCGTGCTGTGCACGGTGTTGTGCGCAGACAGCCTTGAATCACTCACAGCCTTCGCAAGGCCGAGCTGCTGCTGTGATTGTCGTTGGTGGTGGTGTTGGTGGTGGTGGTGACGTGCGGTGGAGACTGGGGAGGAAGATGGGCTCGCTGGCTCGGACACGTTGGTGATGCGGATGAAGAGTGAGGCGCTTGGATTCCTCGAGGGCTCACCATGGTGGAGGTGGTGGTGGTGGTTATCAGCATCACGAGCGGTATCACCGCCAGGTCCGCGGTTGGTCGATGGTGGTTGAGTGAGTTGGGCGGAGATGCTGTCTTGTGCGTGCTGATGCCTTGTAGTTAATGTCGTCCCTGCTGTGGTCGATTCGTTTGTGCTCAGGAGATGAGCGTCTTCACAGCGATGCTCGCCATCATCGCCTCTACCATGACGTTCTGCACGAGAAAACTGACTTGGCCTGTCGGGGCACAAGAGGGCAGCCACCAGCATATCCACAACCTGTGGATTCGTCTGCACCCACGCTGCAAACCCGCGCCGGTCCAACACGTACTCTCGCCAGCGCCGATGTTCCTCCACATCACCGCTATCAGCACCACCACCACCACCTGTACCGGCAGTCCCACCGCGCTTCATGTCATCGTGCTCAGTATGAGCATGAGCACCAGCATCATGATCGTGGTCGCTGTTGCCGCTCTGGGCTGCTGGTGCACGTGGGAAGAACACGCTTCCCGGCACCGTTTCAGCGCCGCACAACGACTCCATATGCGTATCGCTGTTTCCATCATCTGCGCCGTCGTCGTCACCATCGTCGTCACCAACGAATGGTGATCGCGGTGGGCCGGTGCGACCACCATCATCAGCGTTACGAGTTCGCTGCCGGCGTCCGTGGCCAAGAGGGTGAAGGCGGTGGACTTCACTGTGGTCCTTGCGCTGGTGCTGGTGCTGGTGCTGGTGCTGGTGCTGGTGCTGGTGCTGTGTTTCAGCGACTGGAGCAGCTTCACTTTGGGCATCGTGATCGTGGCCGGTTGTGTTGGCGTCAGTGCTGGCCTGGTCGTGGCGCCACCCAAACTCTTCGCTGGACACGGACGCACGGTCTGGCCTGGCTGCATGGTCGCAGGCATGCGGCTGCCGCTGCAGGCGTGCAAGGGCCTCCGCGGAGATCAGCAAATCGCCCACGGTGTGCTGCGGGCTGGTGTCTGGTAACATGCATGCAGTCAGAACATGGTGCAGGTTCTCCAACGATACGGCGCCTTTGTCGTCGAGGTCACAGATTTTGTACAGCAGCTTCAGCTTTGGGTGGAGTGCTCGACCGAGGAGACAGCGGACGGCACCAAACACGTCTTGAATCGACACCAAGTCGGATGTTGCGAGGGACGTGAACAGGCGGGCGGGCAGCAGCCCTGTCATGGGCCAAGCGGCGAGGAACTGCTGCTTGCTGATGGCCTTGGCGCGCAGGTCGTGGCTGCTAGTTGCGGAGCTACTGCTGCTTTCAAACAAGTGCTGCAAGCCCGTGATGGTTTGTAGCTGTTCACGGGACACGCCTCGCCTGTGCTTCTTGTGGTGGGGATGAGTGTGGCACCACGGTATATGGTGGTGCTTCGGCTCGTCCTGCGAGCTTCGGTGGTGCCCGTGCTGGTGCGGCCAGCCATCATCCGCGGTGTCACCGTCGCCGTCATCCATCGCGGTTGTGCTGGTTGAGGAGCAGCATGGCGTCAGCGATGACATGAAGTGTGATAGCCGGCTCGAGCGCCGTCGAAGATGTACACGGGAAGGCCCGCCGATGGAAGGGTCCAGCTTGCCGGATGGAGGTGTTGTGTTGGTTGTGTTGTTGTGTTGTGTGGAGAAAGAAGGACGCGGCGACCGTCGCGAGGCCTGATAAGCGACACCACAAAGTGTAGCAGCACATATTCTTGCTGCGACGGTTGGTTGTTGGTGGGTTGGTTGGTTGTGTGTGTTTGGTTTGTTTGTGTGAGAGGTGTGTGACGTGCGGTGGCAGCAGAGATCGCTGGCCACCTGTCCTCTCTGAATATGTGTGTGTGTGTGTGTGTGTGCAAGTCAGAGGAGGCCCTGCTTGTGGTTGCTTGTGGTTGCTTGTGCTTGTGGTTGCTTTTGCTTGGCGTGCTTGGTGCTCATTTTATCAGCCGTTGCTGTATCTCGCTTGCTGTGCAGGACAAGCTATCGTCACATATCACGTCACACACACACACACACACAGTTGGCTGTTGTTGTGAGGACAAAGATGGCAACGCTGGCGGCCATGCTGGCGCTGGTGCTGGGCTTGGCATTGCTTGCCGTGGACACAGCAGAAGGTCCGCGCGCCTTCTGCACTTGCTTGGGTGCATGCTGAGAGCAAATGCAAGCACAGTTGGTGGTGCTGTCGCTGCGTCGATCGCTGCTGCGAAAGCAACAAACAAACACAAACACTACAAACACTACAAACATGCACCACGACACGTTCAGCCTCAAACACACGCACGGATACACACGGATACACGCACATAGAAGTTCACGCACATGCACACACACACACACACACACACTTACGCTCAACTTGCACACACACACACACACACTCTCTCTCTCTCTACTTCCTTTTTGCACACCTCCCTTCCACAGCGCAACCGGACCTGTTTCGCCGCATCTACACGGGGCTGGACGGGAACCAGGACCTCAACACATGCACGCGGCTGTTGAGCGTGGACAAGGTCATCGGGTGCTCATGTGAGTTGGCACGGGCTGTGCTGTTTGGCCAGCTGCTGTGTTGTGTGGTGTAGGAATCGCGTTGGACTGCCACAGCCGACTGCCCTGACTGCGTGGCCATTCGGCTTGTTCATCATTCGTCATGTGGTCTTGTTTGTGCTGGTTGTGTGCCCTTGTTGTTTTGAGTTTGGTTTTGCTCGCACCGGTTGGCGTGTGACGAGCGCATGCATGCTGATGTGACGTCTCTCTGTTGATTGTTCGCACACACGGTCAGCACCCGAGGATGGTGGTGTGGGCGCGCTGTTCCACATCAGCAGCGACCAGGAGCTGGACAACTTTGATCGGGCGGACCACCACAGCTACATCACCGTCATCAGCCAGGACATGTTTGCCAAGTGAGTCAGCGGCGTGGTGTTGCTGAACAGGCGCATGCCTGCGTGTGTGCGTGTGCGTGTGCGTGGGTGAGTGTGTACATGTGTGTGTGCGCGTACGTGGGTGAGTGTACGCGTGTGAGTGTGCGTCGTGTTCATGACCATGCTCTTGTGCTGATCGTCTGTATTCTCAACACGACGTGGCTGACACCAACCGCCGCGTTCAGGCCGACCACGCTGCAGCGACTGGGCGACTACAACAAATTCAAGGGCGCCTTGGTGTACTCCCCCGAGAACAGTACGTGTGATGGGCATGTGTGCGTTGACGCGATTGTGTACTTCGAGGCTCTGCGCTCTTGCGTGCGTGTGGCTGCAAGTGTGTGTACACTTGTTCACGTGCGGAAATGGATAATTTTGTATGCACATGCGTGGATCGTTGGCTGACAATTTGAACTCATATCTACCCATCTGCTTACACGTGCTTCCACTCCTGTGCACGACTGCAGCCACGGCATCCCCGTGGTCACCAGATGACACGTCGCCCAACGCCGACTTCGGTGCGTGTGAAAATGCGTGTGCGTATGTGCATGAAGAGAGAGGTGCAAGATGGCTGTCTTGACTCACACGGACACGCACACGTCCGTACCACCACCACGATGATCACCACCACCATGATGATCATCACCACTACCAACATCCTCACCACCCTTCACCACCATCACCATCACCATCACCACCAGGGCTCGAGTCGGCAAACCCGCCCGCGTGGAACAGCGCCGGTGGCGGCTTTGGTGCGAGCGGAGCGGAGGGGTCCCACTGGCAGAACTACAAATCACGGCCCATCTTCTATCTCACGCCAGCAGACCGCGACCTTGTCATCTCCGTAAGCGCTGCCCAGGCCAAGGGGCGTACAGGGGCGTGGGTCGGGGGCGCATGCGTGTGTGCTCGTATGTGTTTGTTTGGTGTTTATTTGTTTGTTTATTTGTTTGTTTGTTTGTTTGTTTGTTTGTTTCTTTGTTTGTGTGTACATACATGCGTGTGTACGTCCGTGCATGTGTTGTGTACACTTGTGTGCGTGCATGTGTTTGTGTGTTTGTACGTGCCCATGGACACGAATCAAAATCCACTTGGACCGAGCCCTGCATCAACACCTCCTCACACTTCCCTTTTCCCCTTTTCCCTCGTTTCTTTCCGCGTGGGCAGCGGATGACGGAGAACAACCAGCTGTCTACGATCAACCCTGGATATCCGCTCGTTGCTGCCGAGCTGCGCAGCTTCATGTGGGGTGCAAAGGACGCAAAGACGTGTCTTCGCCGCAAGCACTGCGACCCCCTGCGCTCGCACAATATCTGGGGCACGATGCAGGAGTACAACACGTCGCAGGAAGTGGTCATGGTGACGGCACAGATGGACTCGCTCGCCTTCTTCCACGACCAGGCCATTGGCGCCAACGCCGACGCCTCCGGACGTCAGTTCCGCTCGCTCTCTTCCTTTGCTTGCTTGCTTGCATGCATGCATGCTTGACTGTGTTGCGTCACGATTGTGTCGGTCGCGAACGTGTTGCGTGGTGCATGATGCCTGTTGTGGTCGGTGACGAAGGGGGGGGGTGAGGAAGAGAGAGTGACTGACCGAAAGGAAACGGCGTATGTCGTCGAGTTTTGTGCGTCTGCCGCCTCCTCCTCCTCACATGGCACCCTTGCTCTGCCCTGCCCTGTCCTCCCCCCCTGACATCTGTGAATGTGTGCGCGCGCGTGTGTGTGTGCCTGTCTGTCTGTCCGTCTGTGCGCGCGCGCGTGTGTGTGCCTGTCTGTCTCTGTCTCTGTCTGTCTCTGTCTCTCTCGTCTGTCTCTGTCTCTCTCTGTCTCTCTCGTCTCTCTCTCTCTCTCTCTCTCTCTCTCTCTCTCTCTCTGTCTCTCTCTCTCTCTCTCTCTCTCTCTCTCTCTCTCTCTCTCTCTCTCTCTCTCTCTCTCTCTCTCTCTCTCTCTCTCTGTCTGTGCGTGCGTGCAGTGGTTGCGCTGATTGCTGCTGCGCGCCTGCTCGGCGACCCCATGAACAGCGCCATCCGCACAGCACAGAAGAACATCATGTTTGTGCTCTTCAACGGGGTAAGCGCACGCCTACTCTTGAAGGTGTTGTTGTGTTTAAGTGTGGGTTTCTTGTTCTTGTTCTTGTTCTTGTTCTTGTTCTTGATCTTGATCTTGTTCTTGTTCTTGTTCTTGTTCTTGTTTGGTGGTTGCGTGGCACCATCGTCACAGCACCCATCTCACGGCTTCCCTCGCTCAATCGCTGGTGCCGCAGGAGTCGTTTGGATACATTGGCTCGTCCCGCATGGCCTACCAGATGACCCGCATCCCAAGCAACTTCCCCTCCGCTGCTCTCCCGGTACACACATCACCGCAGTGGTGGTCGTGGTCTTGGTGCTGCTGCTGCTGCTGATGATGATGATGATGATGATGATTGTTGTGGTGGTGGTGAGCTCAATCCTTGTGGTGGTGTTGACCACAATCCTTTGTGCAACCTCTTGCTACCCACATATATTCATTCACCCTCACCAACACCTGTGTATGTGTGTGCGTGTGCAGTTGACGTTTGACCAGATTCCGTATCTGCTTGAGATTGGACAGCTCCTCAGTGGCGGCGAAGACATCACCGCGTACTCGTACAGAAAGTGAGTCTGGCGCACCCACGCACTGCCTCTGCACATGCACACCCGAATCCACGCCACCTTTGCTCTGCCCTTCGTGCGCTCACGCAAACACTCTCTCCCTCTCCCTCTCCCTCTCCCTCTCCCTCTCCCTCTCCCTCTCCCTCTCTCTCACACTCACTCTCACACACACACACACACACACACACACACACACACACACACACACACACACGCACAAACACGTGCACAAGCGAAGATGGTGCAGACGAAGGAGAAGAGGGGATGAAGATGAAGGTGGACGTGAAACATGAAG